ACTGTATCGTGTTCCCTACAAAAGGAAGGCGACCCCACCCCGATGAATGTTCCGGTGGAGACCTCGATGGTGATAAGTTCTTCGTTAGTTGGGATGAGGTCCTTATTCCAGACTGGATGACAAATCCTTTTCCATATCATGAAAAACAAGAAGATCCTTACTGTCCTGTTGGGAAGACCTTGAGAAACATTTTTCTGCCACTATCAAATATTTTTGGCTCCTTTGGAAGGGCACATTTTGAAAGAATTTTTGGCACTGAAGATGAAGCAATACGCCGGGAAAATATTCGGCAAAGAACAGAATTGTTGAATTACTTTGCTAACTTTAACAACAAGCTTGTCTCTCGTATTGATGCAATCTTCATGAAATATGCTTCCAGGTAACGTTACCGTATACGTAATGCTAAGATGTATCCTAACTTGAATTAAGGGTTACTTAAGAGTAAATGTGGTTCACAATTACCGGTTATGCCAGATCCAAAGGCTGACGAAGGAGATTTTCAGGGTGTTTATTTAGTTCGAGGTCCTAGAATATAGCATTCCAGAAAGTTCCACGCAGGGCCCCAGCTAGCAGAACTAGACTTGAAGTATATCAAGAAATTGGCCTGATGATGTTATTTCATACTCAGTCATCTGTCAATAGAATTGTGTAACTTGGGTGTAATGTTTTGCCATTCCAGATCACGTGTCATTCCCTAGAGCATTATTTCTTTGAGAAAAAGAATTATTTCTTTGATTAATGGTTGCGAGCGAGAAGACACATGAATATGGATACAACTCAAGAACAAAGAATGTTGTTCCAAAGAAAATAATACGTGGTTTGATATGGCCACTTTTGGTATATGAGCGTGACGTATATCGAAACTACGTCCAAAAAGCACTGGAGCGAGTGAGTCTCTAAAAATTGACTCTAAAACGGCTGGTGTCCATTAGCTACTGAAATTAAGTCTACAATTGTAGATTTTAATACCTTAAGAAGCGTGATATTCGATCAGTTAGATAGCTTTTTTCATAGCCAACTGCTTATTATTCGGAATACCAAGAAAAATATGTTTTGTTTCTCTTTTCCAGATACGGACCATCATGCGAAACTTGTGTAACGCTCAATAAGTACTTCTCAGATGCTATAGACATGGTAGCAAACAACGACGTCATAGAGAAACATCTTGAAGAAATGGAAAATGCCTACCGAAAGGAAAAAACCGCCCATGACGCAAAGAAAGGCAAAGAACCTGTTTATCCAAGGCTAATCTATCCATCTCGAAGGATCATGAGGCGAAGAGTGGAAACACAGGAGGGATTTCTGAGTCAGCTAAGGATGGATTGCAGATCGACTAAAAAAGAATCGTTCAAAGAAGATGATGATGTGTGGACGATTATGGAGAARCAATCAGAGGAATTTGTAAAAACAATGTTAGACAAATAAGAGTATTATTTGATAAGATTCAGTCTATTTTGATAAAGAAAATAGCCATAGAAGGAAATTGAAAATTTTGTACACAAATCTTTTTCATTTTTCTAAATTTAGACGTAGATTTTTGCATTTGCCATTATTGGGCTACCTGTGATCTAGAAGGACTGGGGCACATTATGTCATCTTTAATTTTTTCCGGGAATTTCCCCGAATTCCGCTTACCAGTAAATGATTACAATACGTATACAACGAACTAAAAGAAGAAATATTTACATGTTCTGCAGCAGTCTTACGCTTAAAAATGCATGGTAAGTTAAAAGAAGTATTAAGCATGATATGGTAMAATATAATGAGCTTTGCTTTAAAGGCCTTTTAGCGGAATAAGGCTTTGGGATTATATATATACCCATAGTATATGTACGTCTCTCCTTTTCGTCCTATGAATACACCGAAAAAATCTAAGGAACAGTCGGCTTTAAACTTGAGTCTGATTGTTACTACGAGTGAAATTAAGCCATAGGCTATTTTTAATATTGCACTAAAGGTTATTTTCAATTGTGATTATGAGTATTTTTCTTGTATAGTGATGATTATTCATCCACAACGTGTTTACACATTCCTGTGGGGAACCGAGATGATGCAAAAATCTGATCAGATAGAATTTCGCGTTTTTTTTTTAGAAAGCAATAAGTAATATTTTAGAGTGCTCAAAAATAATATATGATTTAGATATAGAAATCCGGAAACGAGTCCTGCGAATTAAATGACACCTTTCTAATTTTTGCTGTCGTGTTTACTTGACCTTTTCCCCTTTTCATATCATATATCTCAGTTTTAATTATTTTTGATCATTTGACTAAAGGTATATTTTTTTAGCTGCAGTTCACTGAAGAAATATTGAACAGTAGTTACATATACCTCTTCTTAGGTCTCAGGTCAGGATGAACTTCCTAAAACCGAGACGAGAAGGGTATACACCTATTTCAAAAACCGTCGGTTGGATATCTGAAATCTGAGACCGATTGGAATTGTGGGGGGCTGAGTGTTTTCTCGTTCAAAATTCAATATACACTTACCCAGATAGTTTGCCAGTGCAAGTAATCGCTCAAAGATAGTATATCGAGATATTAACTTTTTGCGAACTACTAATTAAGACCACAAACAATTTACAGCTTACAACCCACAATTCCTTTCGGTCTCAGATTTCAGATCTCCGACCGACAACTGAAATAGGTGTATAAAGATGATATGCAGCGATCTACTCGAAATACTTCTTATTCCTGGTCTTAACTTGTATTATTTACCAGGTTAATCGTTTTACATTATAAAGACCACTGACTTGATGGCTTACATCGTACCTGATGAGTTTATCACTCCACCTCCTGCGGATCATCTCCAGGATTTCCAGACTTCAATCTACATCAAACATGTGGAGATCCGTGGGAAAATGGTTCGTACTTTCACCTACGAAAGACTCCAGATCAGCCTTCTAACGGAGTACCTCATATCCACCCATCARGCTGGTCCACAGGTTATYGATARACTCATGACAGTGTCCTTCAAACAGGAGTACAGAGATCAACCCGACTGCTCCCAGGAGGTCTTGAAGAGGGGGGTTGCGTTAAGCGGAGCGATGTTTCGTTTCCTGGG